TTTTGTATTTTAGAAACACCATTCTTAGTTTTCATGGGTACATGCATATGCTAAGGGCAAAAATGACATAGCTATTCGATGTTCCATGCATTGACAAAAACCTTGCCGTCGATGGTCTTGCATTTCTCCTCGTCAAAGCAACATAGGCGTTGCTTCACTGGCTTGGAGCCTGGCCTGATCTTCAAGGCGTGCTCCACGACTTCTCTCGGAATGCCTGGCATGTCCGAGGGTCTCCACGCAAAGATATCTCTATTGGTGTGGAGGAAGTCGATGAGCGTGCTTTCCTATTTGGAGGAAAGCGTGGTGCCGATGCGCACCACTTTGCCCTCGGAGCTACTTGGGTCTATGAGGACCTCCTTGCGCGCCCCCACGGGCTCGAAAGATCCGGCCGACCGCTTGATGTCGGGTGCTTCTTCGACGATCTCCTCCCTGATGGCCGCGAGCTCTTTAGAGGTGACAATTGCCGTGGCGTGTTTGCAGCACTTGACCTTGTACTCGTAGGCACGCTGGAAGGAGGTGCCGACGGTGATGGGCGCGCATGGACCCGACATCTTTAATTTTAGATAGGTGTAGTTGGGGATGGCCATGAACTTCGTGTAGCATGGACGTCCCAAGAGGGCGTGGTAGGTCCCATGGAACCCAACCACCTCAAAGGTAAGGGTCTCCATCCTATAATTGGTCGGATTCCCAAAGGTGATGGGTAGATCGATCTGCCTGAGCAGCACTGCCTGCTTTCTAGGCACGATGTCATGGAAAGGCGCCCCGGTTGGCGGATGCGCGATCGATCGATGCCCATGGCATCGAGCGTCTCAACGTACATGATGTTGAGGCCACTGCCTCCATTCATCACCACCTTGGTGAGCCGCTTTGTGCCGACGATCGGTTATCTTCCCGGCTACGGGACGCTTTCTGGGTGGTCGGTGCGATCAAAGGTGATGGCGGACCCGACCATCGGAGAAAGGAAGGCGCGGCTGCCAGCTCTGCCGTATGGACCTCGCGGTGCGCAAGCTTCTGGCGGTGCTTGGAGTCATAGTCCACCAACCCCCTGAAGATCATGACGGCAGCCATCCAGCATCGAAAAGCCGCCATCCTTCCCCTCGGTGTCGTCTACCACCAGCTTGGGCTCCTTCCTATGCTCCCCTTATTGGAGCCACCGGACAGGAACCACTTCATGAGGGCGCAGTCTTTATATAGGTGCTTGATGGAGAAGGCATGGTTCGGGCATGGCCCTTTGAGCAGCTTCTCGGAGTGGTCTAGGGTACCCATGGTGGGCTTCCGACCCCTCTTGCGGTCGGCAGTGGCCACGAGCGAGCCCTCGTGCCGCTGCTTGTTCTTCTTCTTGTTGGGGCAGTTGGAGGCGCCTTCGCCGGCGTCCTCGTCCCGCTTCACCTTGCCCTTGGGACGGTCGAAAATTGCTCCGACCGCCTCCTTGCCCGAGGTATGGCTGGTGGCGATGTCAAAGAGCTCCTTGGTGGTTTCACGGGCCCTTACGTGCCCAGCTTGTGAACCAGGGACTCACAGGTGGTCCCAGACAGGAAGGCTCCTATAACGTCGATGTTGGCGACATCGGGTAGCTCGTTGTATTGCCGGGAGAAGCGCCGGATGTACTCACAAAAAGCTTCATCGAACTTCTATCGGCAGTTTTTGAGATCCCACGGGTTCCTAGGACGTGTGTAGGTGCCCTGAAAGTTTCCCACGAAAATCTCCTTTAGGTCCGCCCAACTTTGAATCCGGTTGGGCAGAAGGTGCTCCAACCATGTTCACGCCAAATCGATCAGGAACAATGGGAGATTGCGGATAATGAAACTATCACTATCCACTCCACCGGCTTAGCAAGCAAGCCGGTAATCCTCGAGCCACAGTCCTGCATTTGTTTCCCTAGAGTATTTTGGAATGTTGGTCGGCGGTCGGTACCGCGGTGGGAAGGTGGCATTGAGGATGTGCGGCCAAAGGCCTAAGGTCCCGGCAAGTTAGGGCTCGGGCTCCGGTCCTCGCCGCTGTCATAGTGTCTCGCATGACAAGGGTGGTATCCACGGTTGGCTTCCTCTCTCTCGTCGCTTCGTCCACGCCTACGGGCATCCAGGGTGTTACGTGCATCATGGTGGAGGCCAAGACGCTCATTCATCGGGGCCACGGTGCGCCCCCCACCGGCATGCGGCGCCTGGGGGACAGACGCGTCCCTAACATGTCATCCTAAGGGCGCGTTGACTGGCGTTGAGCTCACATCGCCGAGACAACGAGCTCTCTGCCTGCCTGTTGCACCACCGCGTGCTCGAGCAGCGTGCGGATCTCATGATGGGACCGACGATCCTTGGGTGTTGTGGGCTTCGAGAGCCCTCGGAGCAAAGCCACCGAGGTGGCAATGTTTGGCTTGCCCGGGCAAAATGTGGGAGGGCTCCATCGTCTTCGATGATCCATGGGTTCACGTCGTGGGCCATGGCGCACGCACGCCCACCATCTTTGCAGCGCTCGATCTCTCTCTCGACCTCTGCGCATGCTCCTACTTGAGTTAGAGTCATGCATCCTCGAGCTCCTAGTGCCGCGCCCTTAGTTGTTCCACCCGCATGCGAGGAAGGGCCCCTACATCCTCCTTGACCACGTCATCGAGGTCATTTGGTGGGGTAGCCCCTCCCTCGTGGACGCTTTTGACATGTCCCTCAGGGGTACCTGCCATAAAACATTCTCGCGAGGGGTGATGGGTCCCCCTGCTGGAGTCAAAGTCGGAGAGCGACTCTAAATCTCCCACGAAGGTCATAGAGAGATTTCGTGACGTATTCGGTCATTTCCATGAACTCGTCGTTCGTTGGGGATGGATGCATGCACTACGCCACGAGATGGCCAACGGTCTCCGCAGCATTGCGCAGACCGAACGGGAACGCTTATCGGGCACTCCGGATGAGGTATTCCGGGGAGAGCGGTTCCCCCCAGCAAGCTGCATCATGATGTTGGCGAACAAGAAGGTAAGGCAGCGTCAGGTCCACCCGGGACGGTCGGGGTCCCAGGAAGGCGTCGAGCGGGCGCTCTAGCCTCCCGTAATCGAAGCCGAGGAGCCAGTCGCTCCTAGGGGCACGGGCGTCCGAGACGTGCCGCTGTAGCTCCTCGAGGGCCTCGATGACCATGTCGAGGCTGGCGAAGTGAAGAGGCTGGACGGCGATGGGAGCCTGCACCAACTCTCCCTCTATCGTGACAATGAAGTCTAGGCTCTCGAAGCGCACGTGCGCGCCCGGGACCCAGCTGACGCCGTGACTAGCCATCTGAGGCCTGATGTGGACGTCGAGACGCGCAAAAAGCCCCTACCACGCGCGCCAACTGTCGGTGTTTTGAACCACCGGCTAGTAAATTTGTAGTTTGCGCGTCTGGCCCGGATGGTGTGTTCGGAGGACACAAGGATTATACTGGTTCGGGAAGAACATCCCTACGTCCAGTCTGCTGCTGTTGCTCGTGTTACCGGCACTAGTTTGTAGTAGGGCTTACAAACGGGCTAGAGAGGGAGAAGGTCCCAAGTCTCTGGTGAAAAAATCGAGTGAAGTTGAGTCTTGCCTAGCTCGTTCAGCCGTCTGCCCGTGCCCCTCATGGGGCGTCCTACTTCTCCTTTTATAGGTGAAGGGGAAGGCGCTAGGTTACAGAGAGAGAAAAGGAGAAAAACGAGCGAGAAGAAGGCCTCTAAGATCACGGCGTCCTTCATCTCCTTTATGCGGGTCTCGCCAGTCCTGTAGATGATGACGGGGTCAGCTCCACGTCGTGGCCCTGTTTGTCACTGGCGCCATAGCAGGCGTCATCAGCTGGTCGCGGCGCTCCACTCCGTTCCGTTCCGGCGGGCGGCGTGGTCAACAGGTACTCCTGTCAAAAGCCGTACGGGGATTAGGTAGCACAGCGCCAGCATGCCCGACACTGTTGGTGACGTGAGCCCCCAGGTATGATCCGTCGCAGCCACGGGGCACGTCGAGACGTGCCCGCTTCCCTCCCGGTGTCAGAAGTTTGACCCTAGGGTCGTACTTTTAGACCCATAGTGGTTGGAGGCGGTATGGATCCCCGTTGGGCAAGACAAAACCCGCGCCCGAGGGTTCTGGTGCGAGACGGAGCCTATGTCCTCAGGGTCGGGCGAGACGGAGCCCACGCCCGAGGGGTCTAGCGAGACGGGGCCCGCGCCCGAGGGGTCGGGCGAGACCTTAAATTCGTCTTGGACCATCCGGGCGAATTAACGTTCGTGGCCGTTAACTTCCTTACTCCGGATATCTCTAATATCGATTCTCGATAGTAATGTACCTAGATAATTTACCTTGGCATGTTGCGAATCTATTGGCTGACCACACTTTGCCATAACTGGATATGAAACCCTAAGTAAGTATACCTCTGGAAATGAAGAAAAAACGTAAGCAGCACGATAAATCTATTTTGTTTAAGGACGTCTAAAATTGATTTATGTGATCATCGTTAGAGGACATGCAGGTAGACACGCCACATGCAAGCAATAATGTTCCAAACAAAATTCAAGAGAGCTAATTTGACTATCATATATGTGCATTTGTTAACCTTAGAAGTAACATAGTCATCGAAACATGTTTTGGCTGTATCAAAGTGGAAAGAAATATTATGGAACAGATCAACGAAGCAAAACCGAAAGGCCCCACCTGGCACTGTTTTTTTTGTTGACGATTGTTGTAGCAGCTTGTACACATGCATCACCTCGCTGTGGTCTTCGTCTTGAGGAAACAGACACATAGCAATCTAATCAAAGGCAGAGGAAATTTCTGAAGAAGAATGTAGAATATGTAAGATAAGCGCTACCTGGATCTGATGGCAGCAGGCAGAATCGGACGGCTAGGAGGAAAGCACTGTGGATGAACAGGCTGTGAGGGGGTATGGAAGAGAACTGCTCCCGCCGCCGCCGCTCAAAATCCTAAACAAGACCGCCGCTCCTCCACAGCTGCTCTTCTGTACCCTCGCCGGGCCCCTCCTCTCTACCCTAGCTGCCGCCGCCGCCGCCGCCGATCATTGTCATGAGCGGGCACGGGGCGCAAAACCTTCAATGCGGGGGGCAAAACCCTCGCCCTGGGCGTGGGGGCCAATACCCTGGGCTCGGGGGACCGTACCACGGCGCGTCGGCACCCTCCGCTTCTCACTTCGGACCATCTCGCCCCGCGTCTCCTAATGCCACCGCGTTAGGGCAGTTCGAAGTCGTCTCCCATCAGTATGCGCTGGCGCCCGCCTCCAACCAGAACCCTTACACGCCGCAGTTCGGACCACCAGGGCTGTCGCTGTTTGCACCGTCCCAGCCGCCTCCCAGTGCTGAGTTGGTCAACCCCACCCTTCAGTTCAGACCACCAGGGCCGCACCAGGAGGAGCCGTTTGATCCACAGAATTACTCGTTGGTGGATTCGCAACAACCGCTGCCGCTGCAACCATCGCCATCACCACTGCCAAGACCATCTTCACCACCGACACCAGCAGTGCCTTCATCTCCACCACCGTTGCCATCACCAATGCTGTTTCATCCTTCGTCTCCAGGTAAGCGGCATTTGGAAGACGAGCATCATCCAGTTCCTAAAAGGATCAAAATGGTGACGTTAAAGGTGAAATATACGCCAGTGTGTGTTAGACGGATATGTTGAGTTCTTTTTTAAGTTACATGCAGAAAACAAAAGCTTTGGTGGCAATTTCGATGTCAGTGATATGCTCGTGTCAGCAGAAGATCGCTTGCATGTAACAATTAACAAGCATGCTAATATGAAAGCTTCAAAACTGAACATACACAAAGATTTGATGAAGCTACTCAATTCTCTAGTGAAGACCAGATATGGTGAAGCTGGAAATAGACCTGCATATGTTGATGATTTCATTTCTCGGGTAGAAGATCTATCTCCAGAGTCAGATGTTGAAGAAGAAGAAAGGGAGATACAACTTTGGGTCATCAGGCATCACCCTTTACTTATCGAGCCTGCTAAAAGAAGACTGCTACTTGACTTCTACAAATTCTATAAAACGTTGGATCATACAGTAGCGGAACAGCTTATTAAAAAGATAAACAAGTTCTGCCATTCTAGGTGGCATGTTTTCACTGCGCCTAAAGATAAGTTCATCTCTGCTATATACTGGAAAAGGAAGCTAGGAAAGCGCCCACCAGATTATCATCAGATAGACTATACTGCAGATCCGGATCTTCTCGAGGAAAATCCTCAATATTATCCTTTTACTGGCGAGGATGGCTATCTTGCAGTGTTCCTCCACAATTTTATTGTCCATGGGCCAGAAGAAGCATTGGTATGCGTAATTTTATTTCAGGTATTACCTAAATAGTACTATAATTCATTACTCACGGTCACACATGTTCTTTTAATCATTGTAGGCTTATGGAATTGAACTGGAAGAACTGGAACTAATAGTTGCACATTACTTGGGAAAACCTTTGCCCACTTTTCTTGAGGAAATGTCCAGCGCCACAGACAAGCATGAAATGTAAGTGTTTCGTTTGTTTGCTTCCAATTTTTTGGTTTTATTTGATTGACAATGTGCCATTTCAGGCTCAAGGAGATACTTACTGTGTATGCTGAGCGGAGATCTATCTCGCGTAGAGCTCCGGGGTGAAGGATGGAGGACTGATCATCAACCTCCAGTTAAGACCTTTAAAATTTCTTCATTCATTTTTGAATTTAATGGTGCCATGAGCTGCTTGAGTTTGTATATTGATTGATGAACATGTACTAGACAATGCTTCATATTTTCTTCTGGCTTCTGTGCTATATCAGTATATATGAAAAAATTAACTAATTAAGCATCACCAACGACAATACCTTTGTTTTAGTGCTTCTGTGCTATAACAATGTCTGTCTTTTGTGGCCACATTGTTCATGATGTACTATAATTTATTCAAGATCTTGTATGCAATTGCTTACGTGAATTTTTGTGTTGGTTCTAAGATTATAATGTATTTGTTATAAATCCTCAAATGTCAAGCCTTTTGTTTGATTTTGTTTCATGTATGTCCTAGTTTCCGTTTTGTATTGTTAGCACCTTTCTGATATTGTTTGAAAAGGAAAAAAAAGAAAAACATTGTACTATAATTACACATGATTGTCATTCGTTTTGAAATGTCTGCACATGATTGCAGAATTAGTCCACTATTATTCCCTTGTTTAGTGCTACACTTACCCACCTCAGCCATTGGTGTTGCACATTTCAGGAATGGTTGCCAAGTTGGGTGATTCTTTCCTGCGGCGGGTTTGTTGCTCAGTTCATCTTAAAGCCTTTCCAACTTGTTATTCACGCCGTAACTCCCTTAATTTGCCGAGCAGTGCTTGTGGTTTCTTTCCTAGAAATCACCTGGCAACCTTTTGAGAAGACGCACACAACAGAGAAATACCTCAACCTCGGACCTTTAGAATTTAGTTGGGTAAATCTACATTTTTTTACTTATGTGGTGCCTCAGCTCAGATGGGAAGCTATCCTCCATTTCTCGTTCATATTTGTTAGTGGAGTTTTTTTTGTACTAATGCAACTTCGCTTGGATGATCTTAAGATACAGAGCAAAGATCTCCGGATCAACAACAAAAAAAGAAGAAAAATGAGAACATGCTTGTCTTTGTCCTTCCTTTGGTTTCAATTTCATTGTTCTTTTCATGTGGCATTCAAAGACAGTTTGCCTGTGCTTGCATTTTCTGCGAACTGCAAGGCATTATTACATGATCAACTGCAAACTGAGTGTTGCTTATCTTACGAAAAATATGACCTGAAGGTTTAGTATTCCAATTGAACTGATTCAGGAAGCTCATGAATCCATCTTATTCCGGTAGCCGGTGGTCCCTCAATCACTAATCCACTAAGCATGCCCCAGCTTTTATTTTAGAGATGTGGTTGGCCGGTTTTGCATTAGATCTTTTTGGTTTCGGATAAATGTGCCAAATCTCCTGGCCTTTAAACGTTGCAAAGCTGTGCAGATTTCTAACCGATGCTTAAAGTATTTTTTCAATTACACTTGACTGCTGAGCTCAAATTCACATGTTTTTTCCTAAACGAATTGCTCTAAACACATTGCTCGCATGCGTCTGGGTCCTTTGCCTATAGCCATTCTCTTATATTTTGTTATTCTTTTCTCAGTGTACTTTCAGAAATTTACAGAGCCAGAACAAAGATTTTTTTTGTAAGGGTAATTTATTGAAGCACTTAGCTTACTGGAAACATGTAACCTCCAATTTAAATTGTCATGCCAGTTTGTAAAGGGGATACTTCTATCTTGTAGTGTTGCTGCTCGGAGATATTTCTATCTTGTAGCGTTGCTGCTCTCAAGAGCTGATTAAAGGTGAAATCGAATTAGTTTGACTCCCAACACTTTGATTTAGCAATTGGTCTCAGCCACTCTGCACATCTGCTAACTTTGATTCAACTATTTTCTTGCCATCATATATGAGAGCACTATCCTCCATTTGTTTATTGTTGTGACTGTGCTTTGTTATAACTATAATTCAAAAAGAGAACTCTTTCGTACATATGTCTGCTGGTTACTCAGTAGCCTTCCAGTGGTGCACAAGTGTTGCTTCTGGCAAAGGAAAATTGTGATTCAAAAAATGGTTTGGTTTTGTAATGTCAATTCTTACTCTTTATTATCACTGTACATTTTGCTAGATTCACTAGACTGTCACCTCCACTACATCAATTCTTACATTTTCACTATTTTGCTCAAGTCCTACGGAATCTGTTCATTTTGCCTGTTAGCTCAGTTTACTTCTTTTCTTTTATAGTTCAGTTCACCAGGTAGCAGGTAGAAACAGTTGTTTTCTTTGCATTCTGCTTACAAAGTATCACTCCTTCAGAGATTGTGCAAATGATAGAAGGTATAATTTCCTTTCTTCTATTTGCATGTGTTAGCATCAATTTCATACTAGATAGATTCCTCCAAGTACTTGTTATTTACTGCACCTGAAAAAATGGCAATCGATCTTTTTTCTATCCACGTCCATATTTCCAGTTGTTCTCAAAATAGGAGGAACTCCTAATGTAATACAGAAATTAGGCAAGCTGAATAAAAGCTACAGGCTATATTGATTTCTAAATGCAAAACTGAAATGTAGGCATCAAAGTTCCTGCATTTCATTGTTTTCAACCTGTAAGTCTATTTAGTTTGCTTCTGTGTGTGTGTTCTTGTAAATGTTTTTGTCCTTCGCCTATAGCCATTCCCTTATAGTCTATTATCCTTTTCTCAGTTTACTTTCAGAAATTTGCAGAGCTAGAACAAAAAAAACTTTTTTGTAACTATGATGCAAATGCACCATCCAATTTCTAACTATCCAAGCATTGTGGTTTTGTGATAATCCAATGATACTCCATATGCATGCAGCTTGTGGCATGGTGTTTACACCAGAATTTGGAAGAAGAGTCATAGGGACTCGAAAGCTCCTAAGATCATGTCATCAAGGAATCAATTGCGTGCAGATCGGAACCAGCTGATTCGGATGTAAAAACTGGAATCAACTTTCTTCAGATAGCGTCAGTGGATAACGACAAAGGCTACGTTCGGTGCCAGGACGAAACATATTGGACTCTACAAAAAGGAAAAGATTAGAGTCCAAGTTATCTTAAATTATGAATGTTTTCTTTAGGGTCAAAAATTGTGATGAGTCGTGCTTAGACATGAGTCATGCGCAGGTCCCGGGTATAAATATCAAGCCCCGGCTATTGTAAAAGAACAACAATCAATCAAATATACAAGTCATTTACTTTTTCGGCTCCGGCCACCCTTAGGAGTAGAAGTAGAGTAGATCTCGGCGAGTTCTTCAGCAAGTATGGCTGCATCGATCCGGTCGACCTTCACTGCTTGTTGTAAGTATCGTCATGGCTTATACCTCTGTTCGTACGGCTGCATCGATCTGGTCGACCTCCACTGCGACTCTGGTATAAGTTAGTTATCGACTCTTACCTACTTCAAGTATGGCTGCATCGATCCGGTCAACCCCCACTGCATGAACTAGATCAAGGTCAAGTTATCGGCTCTACCTTAGGATGTCAGTCTTTGGTAGATTCATTAAGTTACCGATATTACTTATTGCTTTCACTATTTATCTAAATTATAGCAATACCACTCTGTACGATTGAGATTGATCTAGATCGGCCTTATATCTTGTTTAGCCCATCGTTTGTTAATCTGAAACTGATCTGATCTATACATTAAACGATGAGTTACGTTTTATCGGCTGTTTTACATCAATCTTATCATGCATAGCGTACGGTTAAAGCATATTGCGTCTTGAGTAGATTTATTGGCTAGCGAGAACCGTTTCATGGCCCGTTATCACAGCCTATGTGATTCTGCATCACACCCCACTGTTAGCACCGTGGAGTGGGGACCGTTCTTTGATAGATCTATTTCTGATAAGGCATGACTTTAGCTGTGCGTTATGCCTGAATCGGCTGTTTTAGCCGATATCGAGTGCTTTCACGAACAGTTCGCATCACGAGACTGTTGAAGTAAAGATAGGTTGAAAGATATGTTAGGCCCATGATCTTATTATTCTATTACGGCCTGCATGATTCTGTCTCATGCCCCACTGATATTAGTAATGAGTTAGGGTCGTCGAGTCTATCGTTATTTCTACGGCCTGCATGATTCTGCCTCATGCCCCACTGGTCATAGCGATAGATGAGATCTAACATGTTCATTAGATTTATCTTTATTAAACGGTTAAATGGTGTTGAATTGTTTCTTTATATAAAAAGGGGTTCGGTTACTTGTAATCATTGGCTCAGCACAAACCGATCATTGTTGACATCTTATTGACATTGCTTAATATTTGTTTAAATAGTGATATTTATCCTGAATGATAACCGATTCTTCTTATACAACCCAATGAGCTTTAATCGATTTATTCTCATGAATATGCTGGAATCGACTATTTAGTCGATCTCCTTTCATATCGGCTCTCATAGCCATACATTCGGGACTGTCTAGCAACACCGGCAAGTTCCGCCCTTAATTACTGATGAACTTTCTCTCCTTATCAATTACATGGTCAAATTGACTGGCACGTCTCGGGAGGAGTGCGCAGGATCGACTACCCCTGCGCTGAAGCTAGGCGGATCTACAGCTCCGTCGAGCAGACCCTTCCGGCTTGTTGCGTGTGTCCTCGGCATGGGGCGAAAATTCTATGTCGACACATGGTTTGACGAAATTAATAATTAGCTGAGCCAGAACAAATAAAGTAACTTTTTGATTAACTGATGCAAAAGGACAGTCCAAATTCCATCTTACCCAACATTGTGGTTTTGTGATAATCCAATGATACGGCAGATGCTGATGTGATACTCTCATGGAATATTGCCTAGATATTGGAATCCTATGTTTTTCTATTATCTTTGATAGTGCTAGGTTTTTTTTTTTTGAAAAAAGTGTTGTTCAGAGAAACTGATGTGTTTTTATTAATCCTATGTCTGATGGAATATTTACTAGAAATTGGTATCTGGTTAGATTTGTTTGACCTATTGGTGTTCATATAACAGGTTTGTGATGTAAAATGATGCTGCTACTACCCCTGGGATGCCTTTCGTCCATTTAGATCAAGCTCATTTCCATGTTCATTCATTGAAATGGTTTCACG